TGGATCTGGGCCAAAAGTGGTGGGAAGATCCCAGCTCAGTTTTGAAGGTAGAACAGATTGGACGTGACGTGGTACAGTAGTGCTATACCAGCCACAGTGGGCTTTATAAAGAAAAGCTAACCAGTCTTTCGGGGCCTCCAAGAAACGCTTGGCCAGGGAGGAGATGAACGAATTCTGTTAGAAGGATGTTGGGGCAGAATAGAATGGGTATTGAGTGGGTAACTGTCAGGCCTCTGAGCTAAAGCTAAGCCATCATATCCCCTGTGACCTGCACCTATATGCCCAGATGGCCTGAAGTAACTGAAGAATCACAAAAGAAGTGCAAATGGCCTGTTCCTGCCTTAACTGATTACTTTCTACCACAAAAGAAGTGAAAATGACCGGTCCTTGCCTTAACTGATGACATTTCACCACAAAAGAAGTGAAAATGGCCGGTTCTTGCCTTAAGTGATGACATTACCTTGTGAAATTCCTTTTCCTGGCTCATCCTGGTTCAGAAAAGCTCCCTCACTGAGCACCTTGTGACCCCCACTCCTCCCCACCAGAGAACAACCCCCCTTTGACTGTAATTTTCCTTTACCTACCCAAATCCTATAAAACGGCCCCACCCTATCTCCCTTCACTGATGCTTTTTTTGAACTCAGCCTGCCTGCACCCAGGTGATTAAAAAACTATTGCTCACACAAAGCCTATTTGGTGGTCTCTTCACACGGACGTGCATGATAGTAACCAGTAGTCCTATACCAGCCACAGTGGGCTTTATAAAGAAATTGATAGCCATTGTAGGTTCTTGTACAAGTTTTTTTTTTTTTTTTTGAGATGGAGTCTCACTCTGTTGCCAGGCTGCAGTGCAGTGGCGTGATCTCGGCTCACTGCAACCTCCACCTCCCTGGTTCAAGTGATTCTCCTGCCTCAGCCTCCTGAGTAGTTGGGACTACAGACGCATGCCACCCTGCCCAGCTAACTTTTGTATTTTTAGTAGAGGTGGCGTTTCACCATGTTGGCCAGGATGATCTTGATCTCTTGACCTCGTGATCCACCCTCCTCAGCCTCCCAAAGTGTTGGGATTACAGGCGTGAGCCACCGAGCCTGGCCTGTACAAGTTTTTATCCACAACCTGTTTCTCTTCTCCTTTCTCCCAGGGCAGTCCCATTTCACATCTATGATTTCTGGTACCACCTGTATACTCAGGGCAATAAAGGATGTATCTCTAACCTAGATTTCTCCCTCAGATGACAGTCCTGGATATCTGACTATTTTCTGGACAACTCTTGGATGATCTGAAACTGAATGATTCATTCCACAAATAGTTGTGAGTATCTAGTATGTGCCAAGCACTGTTGTTTTCTTGTCCCTCACCCCCACTCCCCTCGTGTTCGTGGGGATATAGCAGTGAGAAACAAAACCAAACAACAGAGTAAAACTCCTGCCTTGACAGAATTTGTATTCCAGTGGAGGAGTCATACAAACAAGAAAAGTGAGTACATTATGTGTGTTAGATAATTATAATAGCTAAGGCAAAATAAAGCAGGAAAGAAGGCTAGGTGCTGGGGCATGGGAGACGTAGCAATTTTCAGAGCAGGCTTCATTGAAAAGGTGACGTTTGAGTAAAGACATGAAGGAGGTGAAGAAATGAAAATTGATACTAATTGGCACAGCATTCCAGGTCAAGGAAGCAGCCAATTCCTAGTTCTAAGGCAGGAAGCCATGTTGGGGATGGGAGTAAGAGTGAGTGGAGCAGAGGAGCATTCGGAGATGAAGTCAGAGGCCGGGCCATGCGCCTTGTTGTAGGTCAGTGAAAGGACTTTAGGTTTTACTCTAGGGTTAAAAGTCCCTAAAGGGTTTTGCGTAGAAGCTTGATATAGTTTGATTAAAAACATTTGTTTTTTCTAGTTGCTTGGTTGAGAATAGACTGAAGTGGGTCGAAGGCAGAAGCAGAGAGACCAGATAGGAAGCTGCTCCCAATAAGGCTGGTGAGAGAGTGGCTTGGATCTTGTATAGGTGTGGTGCTCGGGCCTGAGAGGTGCGGTCAGTCAGTGCTGAGGCCATGTCCGGGGGGCAGACTGCCTTGCTTTTGGTGGAGCTTGGTTCTGGATCTGGGCCAAAAGTGGTGGGAAGATCCCAGCTCAGTTTTGAAGGTAGAACAGATTGGACGTGACATGGTACATGAGAGAAAGAAACGCATAAGAGATGAACCTAAGGTTTCTGATTAAATGTTGGACATTGTGCAGGAAAAAATCACATAGAGGCTCTGGCGAAAAAGATAAAAAATAAAATAAAATAAAATAAATAAAGAAATAAATAAAAATTGCATAGAGACTGTGGCTGATGTTGTTTTTTTCCAGAAAGGATTTAATTTTATTCTGGCAAGCAATTAGAGTAGGAACAGATGCCTTTTTTTTTTTTTTAGGTGGAGTTTTGCTCTTGTTGCCCAGGCTGGAGTACAATGGTGCCGTCTTGGCTTACTGCAGCCTCCACTTCCCAGGTTCAAGCAATTCTCCTGTCTCAGCCTCCCAAGTAGCTGGGATTACAGGTGTGCACCACCACGCCTGGCCAATTTTGTATTTTTTTAGTAGAGACTGGGTTTCACCATGTTGATCAGGCTGGTCTCGAGCTCCTGACCTCAAGTGATCCACCTGCGTCAGCTTCCCAAAGTGCTGAGATTACAGGCATGAGCCCCTGTGCTCAGCCTCAGATGACCTTTAGTCAGGGATTCAGACTTTGTGAGGGCTGATCATTTTCTGGTTTGGTCTTATCCCAGAGCTAGGCCTTTCTGTTCTTTCTCAACATGAACATCTGCGATATTTAACAGGTGCCCATCTTTGGGTAACATTGAACTCCAATTTTTGTACCCCCAGCTCTGTGAGACTGTTGAAATGTACACTTAGCATTTTAACTATTTAGCAACTGTTTGGTTTCTTGATTTCCAGTGCCCTTACAGCTTAGAATTCAGCAAATACCTCAAGGATAAAAGCCAAACAAAATGTCAGACTGGCTTCTTTATGATCCTTCTTTCTTTGAGATCTTGTCCCTTCAAGTCCTGTCAGCAGTTTTCAACTCCAATTTTTTATCTCCCCGTATCTGAAAGGTCCCTGATACCTCCAGGTCACTGCTCTCTGCTCGCCATAATGCTCTGCACAAAACTCAGCAAATGCCCTAATAAGAAAAAGCGATGGAGAAGTTCTGTATCACCTTTTGCATCTCTCTTCTTCCTGGGATCCCAGGCTCTCATGTCTTGACCATCTTGGTTGCTCTCCGGTGCCTTCAAACAGCCTGTGTAGTTTTTGTTATGTGTGCTTTTTTAAATGTTCAGCTTTTATGCTTATTCCCATGAGAGGACTGGTTTAATTTAAGCTATTCGATTGTAGCCAGAGGCCATGATAAGGTTGTTGACTAGAGTACCTAGAAGAATGGAGTTGCCATTTAGTGATACAGGGAACGCTGGGGAGGAGCCGTTATTGGAGTGAGCATTAGCAGCTTGGTCCTGGGGCACATCACGCTTGGAAGGCATGTTAGTCATCCAAGTGGAGAGGTTGAGTAGACAGTTGGACATGGGAGTCTATAGTTTTAGAAGATTGGTCTGGGTTAGAGAAGTGGATTTTTGAATCAACAGCCATGAGACTTGATAAGATTACCAAGGGAGTATAGAGAGATAAGGCCTTGAGTATTCCAATATTTAGAGTTTGGAAAGATGACGAATAATCAGCAAAGGAGACTGCAAAAGAGGGTCAAAGAAATGGTAGAAAATGCAGAAAGCCTGGTCACCTGGGAGTTAAGTAATGAAAGTGTTTCAAGGAGAAGGGAGTAATCAGCTATATCTAATGCTATACATGTGCTAAGCAAGATAAGAACATTGGATCTAGAAACATAGAAGTCACTGGTAATCTGAAAAAAAGGCAACTTTCATGAAGTTATAGAAGAGAAAGTTCAGTTATAATGGATCCTGAAAAGAGTGGCAGAAGAGCAATTTATGGCTTAAGGAAAGAAGAAAGAAATGGGCTGGTAGTTAAAGGGAAATTGAGTCAAGAACAGGTTCAATATTTTTTAATGCGAGAATTGACTGTGTGTGTATATGTTTCTAGAAGTGATTCAGGAGAGAGGGTGGAATGGATGGTGTGGGACGGAGGGAAGAATTGGTGGAATGATGTTGGCAAAAAGGAATAGGTTCTTGTGTGTAAGTTGAGGGATTGGCCTTGCCTAGAAACATGGACAATTCATCCCTAGTAAGAAGAGGAAAGGTAGATCTATGACCACAGACATAGTCAGATAATCATTTTAAAATTCTTTAATCAATAGGTGTTTCTGATTAGCAGGCACTGTGCTAAGCACTTTACATACCTGATTTCGTTTAGTTATTATAACAATCCCAGTCTAACAATGAGGTAGATTCTGATATTATTCCCATTTAATTTGCAAGGAACTGAAATTTAGAGAAGTTGAAATAACTTACCAAAGTCATATAGCAAGCAAGTGACAGGACCAAGACTTAAGCCCTTGACTGCTGAACTCTAGAACTTACGCAAGAAAGCGTCAGCTTATGATGTTCATTGTCCTTCCACTCCCAGATCCCCCATTTCTTGCCCCTTTTGCTTGTTCCCTCTCCCCTCATTCTCCATATCCCAATAATCACCAAGTCCTGTCCATTTTACTTCCTCAGTGTTTCTTGCTTCTGGATCCTCTTTTTTGTGTCCTTCCTATTCCTACCAGCCTTTGACCTCGTCATTCTGACCCCATGTAGTCTAAATTAAATCGTCTATGGAACCAAACAATAATCTAAGAGAAAGGCATCCTTGACCATGCTTGCTCCATAACCCACTGCCTAATAAGTTCAAGTTTCTTAAACTATGCTATAAGCCTGCCACTACATGGTTACTGTGTATTTTTCTAATTTCACATCTCACTGATTTCTGTCTTGTACTTTTTTCTTAGCAGAGCTGAGTGCTTGCGGTCCTTCACTGCATGAACTATCATGTTTCCACGCTGTGTTTGTGCTTTATGATTTTTCCTTGTCTCTTTTCCTGGATTTTTCTTCTACTCCTCTTTTAAACCTCAGCTCCTGTTGTTTTCTCTAGGGAGGCATTTCTTTTTTTTTTTGAGACAGAGTTTCACTGCTTGTCATCCAGGCTGGAGTACAATGGTGATGTCTCGGCTCACTGCAACCTCTGCCTCCCGAGTTCAAGCAATTCTCCTGTCTCAGCCTCCCAAGTAGCTGGGATTACGGGCATGTGCCACCACACCCAGCTAATTTTGTATTTTTACTAGAGACAGGATTTCTCCATGTTGGTCAGGCTGAGCTCAAACTCCTGACCTCAGGTGATCCACCCACCTCGGCCTCCCAAAGTGCTGGGATTACAGGCGTGAGCCACAGCGCCTGGCCAGGAAGGCATTTCTGATGCCTCTAACTTGGGTTCATATACTCTGCAGCCACAACGCCATCTTTTACTTGTGTTGCGGGAAGTCAGGGACCCCGAACAGAGGGACCGGCTGAAGCCCCGGCAGAAGAACATAAATTGTGAAGATTTCATGGACATTTATTAGTTCTCCAAATTAATACTTTTATAATTTCTTACACCTGTCTTTACTGTAATCTCTGAATATAAATTGTGAAGATTTCATGGCACTTATCATTTCCCCAGTGAATATCCTTGTGATTTTCTATGCCTGTCTTTAATCTCTTAATCCCATCATCTTTGTAAACTGAGGAGGATGAATGTCGCCTCAGGACCCTGTGATTGTGTCAACTGCACAAATTGTTTGTAGAGCGTGTGTGTTTGAACAATATGAAATCTGGGCATCTTAAAAAAGAACAGGATAGCAGTGATGTTCAGGGAACAGGAGAGATAACTTTGAACTGGCTGCCGGTGAGCTGGACGGAACAGAGCTATATTTCTCCTCTTTCATAAGCAAAGAGGAGAAATACCGCTGAATTCTTTTTCTCAGCAAGGAACATCCCTGAGAAAGAGAATGAGCCCTGAAGGTAGGCCTATAGATGGCCCCTTTTAAGGCATCCGGTGGAAGCCAAAGGGATGAAATAAGCCCCGGTGTCCTATAGTGCTCCCAGGCTTATCAGGTGGAGGAGAATTCCCACCTAATAAATTGTGGTCAGACAGGTTATCTGCTTTCAAACCCTGTTTCCTGATAAGATGTTATCAATGACAATGCATGCCCAAAACTTCATTAGCAATTTTAATTTCTCCTTATCCGGTGGTCCTGTGATCTCATCCTGCCTCCATTTGCCTTGTGATGTTTTATTACCTTGTGAAGGATGTGATCTCTGTGACCCACACCCTGTTCGTGCACTCCCTCCCCTTT